TTATATATATTTTTAATATTATTTACAGACAGCTTCGTCTTTCGCTAAATATCATTATTAGTAGTAGCCTGTGTTTTGATCTAAGTCATCTATCTATATATTAATAGGTGAAGAAAAAACTTTATACCCATTTTTACGAAAATTGCGCGGACGGAGGAGTACGAAATTTCCCACACTTATAGTTAATATACCTAGAGAAGAAGTGCAGAATGCTAATAATTTTTTTTAAATTATGCATAAAAATACATTAAATCAATAAAAAAGCATTACACATACTACCATGTATTTGACACACACCCGCATATAAGAGTATACTCTTTTGTTCATTGTTAAAGTCTGTGGTCAAATTCAGAATTATGTGTTAATACGTGATTCAAAAACTTTGTATACCTTTTTAAGAAAAATCAATAATAATCATGGTCAAAGTTCGACCACTCGGCGAACTCTAGTATGTATAAATATTTAATCTAGGTCATCTGTGTATTCGTCCAAATACGTTTTGTCTTCCACCTGGGCAGGACGTATGTAATATGTATAGTCTAAGTGAGAGAGGCTATCGCAGTCGAAATCGACTAAGACAATATTTTTATCATTAAACTTTATAACAAAGTATAGAACGGAAGGCTGATATGTATATTTCTGTTTCTTCAGCCGATGGAAATGACTTACGCATGTACATTTTGTTAGCACTCAAATGTAAATAACTTGCCTAAACGAGACACTGAGTTAGAAATGCTCACTAAAATTTTAAATCCACAAAGCATTTGAAATAAAGCTGTGATATATTAATCTATTAGCTTTATAACTTTTATCCAAGAAAGCTTTCAAGGAATCGAAATGAAAATTATATTAGAGACAGTATTATATAACTAAGTAGTAACAAATATGATATTGTCGCATAGAAATCTTACAATCTCCTATGAAGCTCTCTTAAGTATAGTAGTTAAGATTTTCAGAACTTAGCTTTTTCAAATAATTTGACAAAATATTTTACCGCAAAGTAGCAAATTAAACAAAAAGAATGTAAAAATAGGTTATATTTAAATAAATTTACACTATCATATACACTCAAGAATTTATTCCGTAGTTTAGGGTGGATATATTTTTATATTATTTTTTGGTATTATATGTAGAGGGTGATTACAGAATCACCCTCTAGATACCTAATTCATTAAAAAAAAGCCGTGAATATCTGTCCACTATAGGAGAGACTCGTGTAACATAAACACGAAAAAAATATATTGCTGGTTTGAGTACTCCTCTTCCTTGAAATCGGTCAATAATAAAGAACATAATAATAAGGTTATACATTATATACCTTTTCTATCTTCTGTCAGCTAGTTTATCATTATTAATTAGTAAACAATATATATTTCATTTCTGAATAGAAATAATTACCGCATCCATTATCATTTTCTAACATCGATGTTTAAGTCAAACCTCGTCTTCTAGTTAATTAATAATATTGGAACGATTGTTTCTGGCGTTAGCTTACCATCTGTCCTATTCACACATGTACAATATCTTGTTGTATTTCCCTCTCTTTTTCGTTTAGGAGAAATATTTAATTAATATTGCATCAAATTAGGTACAATATATAGTAGGTACTTCGTTAACCAAAGATTCATTTTGAATCCTTTGTTTTTGAGCTGTAAAATTATTTGTTTACTGCCTATCCAAGAAAACAAAAACGTTTTATTTAAAACTACAACATTTTAAGGTTTAGATTAGATTTCTCAGAGATGATATTTTCTCGCAGTATAAAGTATCCTTCCTATATCTATATATTGACCCGGATAACCACCTAGCATCATAACAAATTTCATCAAAATCTGTCCAGTGGTTTTCTCGTGATGCGTTTCCAGAAAGACAGACAGACAAAAATTCTAAAAACTATAGATTCGGCCTCTGTATCAATAACTAGTGACTCACCCTCGCTTCGCTCGTGTTCGTCCCTAGATTGATTCCCTATACAAACTTTCATCCCAATTTTCACCCCCTTAAGGGAAGGTTTCAAAGTTTAGTAGATCCAGAGATTACCCCCTACAACCTCACAAACTCACAAACTTTACCTCTTTATAATATTAGCATAGATAATGACTATTTGAATAGGATTTACCAAAAAATATTTCATGTACAGATTCGACTCCGTTAGAATTTTATTATATGTATAGATGTCAAATATTCGCTTAAATCTAAGAAAGAAAAATATTATATTATAATTATGTAATCTTTTTTATGCATCGCTTTGAATATAGTACAAAGGTGTGATACCTTATACCATACCTAAAACAAATTTACTATACCTCTATCAGGCACTCTATATAGATACATACATATACATTATATTGTTGTTGCATCAACTGAAAAAACCTGACTTAATGTTAATAATTAGCAGACTACATTTTTGTTAACACACTTCTTCTAAGTAACTTTTTGATAAGTACCTTTTTATGATTCTCAACGGAACATAACTCATGTAAGTATGAGAGAGGTACGAAAACAATACCAGCAAACACGTTTTTAATATTAAAAAAGGAAGTGAGGATCAACAATAGAAGCATAAGATATAAAACAAGCTATTAAATTAAACAAGTACGAATAATGAGTAAAGTTTGCAGATAAGAGTGGCCATCAAAACACCAATATCTTTGGAGCCGTTTGTTTCAACCTGCCAATTTTAATGAGATCGAGATACCATCACGATATTTGCGAAAAGTTAGATTAAATAAGTTATTTTTCTTCAATGTCTAAAGACCTCATTAAAAAGTTTATAACAAAAACCAAAGAGCTAGCCGATTCTTATCACATTGTGATAACATCCAAAGTATTGACTATTGTCCTGTAATATTAAACTAGGGCTTGCGTGTGACTTCTTAAGGACTCGTATTAAAATAGTGTAGAAGAAATACTAGAACTCCATTCTTTTTGTAAGACCTAATGAAGAGAGAATAAATATAAATAAATATATTTTGACATTAACACACAGCACCATCTAGTTCCATGGTAAGCTACGAGGCTCGTGTTATGGATACCAGATAGTTGATACACTGCACATATAACTTTAAATATATTATACATTATTATTATAAATATAAACACCCATGACTAGAGTATACACATTCGTGTTCATCACACAAATGAATGGCCCTAGCGGGACTCGAACCAGCGACTACTGGCACAGCAAGTAGGGTCACTACAAACTGAGCCAAATGTGTCGTCAAATACACTGTACACTATACAGTAATCTCAAGCAGTATCATTCACCTTAAACGATTACACTTCTTAATATTTATTAGCGAGTAGCAATGTACATTATACAACAAAAGTTATAGTTAAAAAAAATAATAACTTTAAAAAATAAATAAAAACCGATATCAAAAAAACACTTTAAAATAAAAAAAATAATGGTAGTTATCATTTACTATAGATACCTAATGAGATATTTTCAAAGTCAGTGTGCTTTGATTTGTATCGTCTGGCACCGACTTCGAAAATATCTAATGAGGTATCTATAGTAAATGAAAACTACCAATCAGTTATTTATTAGTTTTTAGTTTTTTTTTTTTGAACTCAGTTTTTATTTTTTATTTTTAAGTTTAGATTTTTCTATTTTTAGTGTAGACACACTAGTAAGAAATTAAGAAGAAAATATTTAAAAAAGTCAGTAGGTAAGAAATCCATTATCTTCTATGTTCTATACTTAGGGGTAGAGTTTTTTTTTAATTTAAATGAGACGAACTTTGAGGTATATATACAATACCCAATAAAAAGTTATGCGTGGTGAAACATAAATCAAATATACTTGTCGAATTGAGAACCTCCTCCTTTTTTTCGTCGGTTACAAAACTAAAAAAATACGCTTTTTTTCAACTCAGACTTAGGAATAATATAGACAGAGATATCATACAACTAAACATGAAACCAAACAATCATTTTTATTATAATATATATTGCTTTAAAATAATTAAAGAGAATTAATGCTTGAAAAATATAAAATAATTAAATAGCGTGCTCCAACTATCTGGTAGTTGAGAATAAATTTAAAGATTTATTTCAAAAATTATAAATTTGAAGATACTATGTTCTTGTTGTTTAAACTGCAAGGGAAAGCATTTTATTATAAAATATATTTTCATACAAGAAAACCCCTCTTTTAAAGCAAAGACCGTGTCCATAAGTTTAAAATTCAGAGTTCATTGATCAACTAACGTCATAAATTGAACTTCCTTACTTTTATAGTACCATTTATCACTAAGAACTTAACATTCTTTATAACTAAAGTTAAAGCACGAGGTCTTGCGACTATCAAAATAGAGTTATCGCCCAATAAAGTTGGTAATCTCTGGTTGAAACGACTTATAAGATTTGCTCTTACATTCAAGCTACAGGTGGTACTAAAGTACTGCAATTTTTACATATAAATTGTAATGGACGAGTATAATGCATTAAGATCCTGTCACTGCCTTCTATAACAGAAATTTCAGATTCGATTTCCAATTAGGATAAATGTTTTGACCAAAAATGTCTTCCTTGTCTAGTTAACATGAAGTTAGATGTTATAAGCTATCATCCAACACTTGTATTTTGACTGCAGACTTCAATCCCAAACGCAAGGTGTAGTTTGCCAGATAAATATTACAGAATTAGACATTTGAGGTTAAATTCAATTTTGATGCGAATTCGTACGATACAATTTTTGAGAAAATAGGAATTTTAGTAAAATTGGTCTATCAAAATTATATCAATCAAAATTATGTCAAAACACTGTAGTTTTTTTTGAAATTCCTCTTAAATATTAAGTATTTTATCTACTTTCTGTATATAAATAGATATGTAGGTGTCATTTATGACAGTAACTCAAAAAAACGGTGTTCGTGGGCTGGATCCATTTTGCAAAACTACGTCCAATTACAGAATACTCAGCAAACTTTCGTATTATGGTAACAAGAATAATAAAATAAAACACATTTTATTTCCCAAATTTATTAAAGCGTTTAACTATCTTCCGCAGCAGCAGTTGGCAAAGTGAAGCGTGAAGTATGCGTGTCTTTTTCCACGGGCTCTTCCACGCTTGGAATACGATAGGCCATGAGAGCCGCGCCATAGTTTCCCATACCCGTGTCACAGAACACTATCTATATATAAAGTAAAGAAAAATTCAGTCAATTGTGAAGTGGACTTACGTTTTGGGTCTCGTACTAGTATATAAACATATATTAAAGAGATAGATAAATATTTTTTTAATTTATTACATACACAAGAATAACACAGAAAATGAAAAGGAAAAGAAAGATAACAAAAAATAGCCAAATGCGTGTCCCCATCCTGGGAGGAGGAGGGGATGGGGGATCACTTGACTCTAACAAAAAATTGTAATTTAAAGCTTAATACTCCACAAACGGATTCCTTAATGAAATATTGTTTTCATAAACGCACAATAAAAAACGTTTCGTGTCAAAACGTATGGTCGGACTTGGATGAAATTTATTAGACAGACTGTGAGTACTATTATGCATGTAACCCACCCGAGCTAGTACATTATTTAACGCGTCATATGTAAGTAACAAAAAATTGCAGCCGTCATATAAATCAAATCAAAATATACTTTATTCAAATTAAAAATTTTCAAACACTTTTGAATTGTCACTTTTTACATTTTCAAAATTTAAATTAAATGTCAGTATGTAAGTCCGTGAGGATTCTACCACAGGCTCGGAAGGCAGTATAAACAGTTAGCCGCTGTGGCCAAAGTCATGACCGCGGTTACATAATGCGCGGGCAGGTCAAACATAAGTCCGACTCATATTTGATCACTTTTTACTGAATCTTTAGCTTTAAAATTTAAACCATGATTGACGCTTAGTTTGGTTTTAGCAATAAGCAAAAACCAAGAATATCCATTTTTGTATAACATTGTTAATTTTACTTTTCGCTATTTTATTTTAAAATATATATACATATATAGTTGTTCAAAGGACATAATATTTACAATTACTAATAATATAAACACAGATAAATCCATACACAATATTTAGTGTCTAAAAGTTAAAACTAAATAAATATATATGTTGGAACATTAACACGCAGCACCATCTAATTCCATGGTAAGGTACGAGGCTTGTGTTATGGATACCAGATAGTTGATACACTGCACATATAACTTTAAATACATACAATATAAATATTATAAATACTTTTCCAAGAACTTACCTCATCATCAATAAGATATCTCACATAGTACAGCTCGTTATATTTCTCAAAGCCCAATTCCTCTGTAATTTGTTGACCTCGACTCGTTGTGAAAATACCCGTAACGGCCGGTACGTTAGCGCTCTCGCTTAATGCTATTGCGGCTTTTAGCATTTCTTTGGCAATACCTAACAAAAGTAAAGAATAAATCATATATCTTACTTTTTGATAGTCTAAAAGGATTTTAAAAAAAGGTAACCTAATAAGGGTCTCTATTAATCTAAGTCGTGCAAAATACTCATGGGAACTTAAAGTATTAGATTCATACAATGGTTATTTAATACTATTCAAAAATCATTTAGTTAGTACCCATTGCTGCTAGAATATAAAACAAACTTAGCAAACCAACTCAATTTTTATTAGTAATATTATTTTAAGTATTAATTATATTTAGCATAAATCAAAATAAAAGAAATAGTATTATAATACTTATAAAGTAAGTTGTACTTTAAAATATTTACTAATCATGTTATTTATTTACATATTTCTATTTTATATTTATAAAAAAAAATGCTTAGTGTTTACTTTGTCATAGGAAAAAACTGCTTTTTAGAGTGAGTTCCTTGAGAAATGGTTACTTAGTTATAATATCTTATGAGATTTTCAAAGTATACTGAGGACTGAAGCTTAACCAAACAGAGATCGAACCCACACTCTCCATCACAGTTAATTTTCAAAAAAGTGAAGGTTAAAGTTATATAAAAATATAACATTTTACCCCTATGCCGATATCTAGGTTTCAATGCCAAAACGTAAATCTTGAAGAACTTCTTCACGCCGAGCTTCTCATACAAATCTATAGGTTTCTCAATTGCCTTATAAAAAGTCATCACTGTAGTGTATTGGGCATTGTGCGTTATCTTCACACGACTAAATGTTCTGGAGAAGGCATCTAAAAGATATTATTAACTTCTTTAATTTTTTAATTTTCCTTGTCCTTAAAACTTGTTTTTTTTTAAATCATGTTACTTTTGCATAACGTAGCTTTCCAATAGTGAATGAATCCCCAATTAAAATCAATTCAGTAAATCCAGATATTATGGATCACAAACAAAGCTTTTCTCTTCATAATATCGATATATGTATATTTATGGTTTAACTTGAAATCCATGTTAAAAATTTAATTAAAGAGCGTTTAATAGAACGCCAATAGCCAACAATACCCAGATATAATATATTTGAACTCAATGAAAATTTTGAGAAGTTTACTAGCAGCTATTGAGCTATTACTATTAAGAAGTTTCACCCTCCATATTCTGACTCCATCAGACCAATTCAATAGTTCTAAATTATTGCATTACTTGCCCGTTCCGTTATATTCAATCGTATGCACTTACAACCCTCTAAATAGATAAGTTAAATATAATAATAAATATATATACATATAAGTGAAATTTATTCAAAAGGGGTTTAAAAAATATAATTTTTGGATATTAACTTTTCCTCGCTTTGCTTTGGGGTTGCTTATAGCCTATGTGTTACTCCAGCTTACTGTCTATTTGTATACAAAATTTCACCCAAATTAGTACAGCTGTTTTAGAGAAAAGGAGCAACAAACAAACACATACAAACTTTCGCATATAAATATAATAGTAGTCCAAATTCCAATTAAAACAATTCTTTTTTGTTAGGACGTTAGTTAACACACAACACTATCTAGTTCCACAGTACGCTACGAGGCTTGTGTTATGGATACCAAATAGTTGATACACTACATATATATACATATAAAACTTTAAATACATACATATAAATATAAACACCCATGACTGGAGTACAAACATTCGTGCTCATCACTCAAATGAAAGTCCCCAGCGGGACTCGAACCCGCGACCGCTGGCACAGCAAGTAGGGTCACTACAAACTGAGCCAAACGTGTCGTCAAGTATGGAGACTGCTTGTTGGGCACTATATATTTACTACATATATTCAGGCTTACATAATCTTCTTCGAATGGCTTAAACCGTAACAATATCATGACTTACACTCCTACCTTTCTCTTTGGCTACTTATTCTAACAACTTCCCCTAATACAGATCTACCCCGATGGAATACTTCGAAACCAATTTATGTTCAAACTGTGGGACATAAGTTAAAGATGAAAGCGTTAAGAAAAATATTAATCTCATTATATTTCTCATCATAATAACATAATATAGTATTTCTTTGAACGTAACGACGAGATAATAAGTGGCATATCCCCTTTTAAAAAAATCTCGTTGCATTGAACAGCCAGCTTATTACATTTATTTATTGAAGATGAACCTGTAAATATTTATTTTTCAATCTTGAAATCGAACGTTAATTATTTATTGTGTTAATATTTAACATTACAGACCAATCTCTTTCGTGTCTTTTCCATTCTACGTGACATTGGCGAATTAATCTGTATTCAACTGGCATGCTTTGAAGCCTTTAACAAGAGAACTGGATTGAATAGAACATTTAACATCGAAATCAATTAGGTAATTTATTAATTTTACATAAATCTTATAACGCCCTAAGCTATTTCGTGACATAATAAGTAGCTTAACCTTATAATATATCTATCACCCTCGCTTCGATCAGGTTCACCTCTAGAAAAACAAAAACAAATCTATCCCGCGGGAACTCTACATTTTTCCGGAATAAAAAGTAGCCTATGTGCTATTCCAGACTATAATCTATCTTTGAATTACATGTAGAGGAAAAAGGAAACATTTATTGGTTTTTCCCACAAACTTTCACACAGTAACGGAGTACTTTTTGCATAGAGATAATTTATAATGCGTAGACTGTTACAGGATAATACTTAACTACGTTCCCATGAGATGGGATACAGATAGTGCCAAATAGTATAACAGTCGCGCCTGAGCGTTTAAAAAATTCCATTTCAAAACTTGGGGCAAAGGCCAAATCCTAAAGCTGAATTCGAATTTCTTTTACGGATGCAGTAAAAATTTAGGCTCAAAGCAGTCGAGGAGCCCGCGCCTAATGTTACGATACGTCGAGTATAAGAATCGATACAAATGATACGCAAATAGATTCTGAATAGTGACGGTTTTCCATATAAATTGATATTGGTGCTATTCGGGCAAGTATAAAAAAAAGAAATAACTTGTTTTAACTAAAATGAATTTTACATTAAGTGATCTGTTATATGAATTAGAATTTGAAAATGATTTATTGTAGACATCAAATGTCTGAAACGAACTTGTACGAAGACAACAGCGTTATTTTTACAAATATTGATATACTAGCATTGCCCGCGACTCCGCCCGCATTCATATGACCAAAAACCAAATTCTTAGGTTTTACATTGTAGTATACTCTTACATTGCAGTTTTTGTATTTTTTCTCAGAAATGAGATATTTTCCCGCGGTAAAAAATATCCTATATGTTGACCTGGATAACCAGCTATCACCATACCAAATTTCATCAAAATCCCTCCAGTGGTTTTTTTCTGATGCTGTAACGACAGACAGACAAACAGACAGACAGACAAAAATTCTAAAAACTATAGATTCGGCGTCTGTGCCTATAATAACGTTTATTTCAATAAGATTTTCCAAAAAATATTTAATGTACAGATTCGGCTTGTTACAATTTTATTATATGTATATTGTATAGATTTTAGTTGTGGTTATACTTTTACATATTAAAAAAAATATTTATTAATTTAATATTTTCATTATTTGGTAATGCCACAATTTCGCCGTATTTTTTTAGTCGGATCGGACCGAAAGTTCCATAACTATACACGGTATATTTTTCAATAAAATTGACCTTATATTGAATTTCATACAATTCTGTTATTAATGGTTCTTCGGCGGTGCCAGTTTATTTTACTTCGCTAAAACCACGTAGATTGAAGGCGACACCATGGGATCCTAAGAGAACTCTAACGCGAGTCCGAGTCACACGTGATCAGAAAATCTGGACATTAGATGTTTAGGCAAACAGAAAGATTGATGGATACAAGTTTTAAAGTTTTTGATTGAATATAAAGCTAATATAAAGCTTTGATGTCATGCAAATCTATACCTAGATATAATAAAGTTCTGAGTCGAATCTGTACATTAATTATTTTTTTTAAACCTTATTGAAATAGTTATTATTATCGATACAGAGACCGAATCTATAGTTTTTAGAATTATTGTCTGTCAATCTGGGAACGCATCACGAGAAAACCACTGGATAAATTTTCATGAAATTTGGTATGATGATAGCTGGTTATCCTGGTCAACATATACGATACTTTTTACGGTGAAATTTGAACTAAATGTTAAAACGTAGGGACGAACCCGAACGGATCGAGGGTGAGTCGCTAGTAATAATATAAACTCAATATAGCGTAGCTATTTTGGAATGCCAGACAGACAATTCATTCTTATTTATGAGTATAGATAGATATTTACGTACTTTTCTCCTGAATTCTCATTATTAGGACGCCGACAAGTTTATCATCGCCTTCTTTCACGGCGGCTATAGACATTTTATCTTTCATCCAAATTCTTGCGTTGTGAACAAACTCGTCTGTACCCTCTTTGCTTTCTGATATTTTGACTGATCGGTACGTTATCTAAAAAAATAGGAATTATGATTAAATTTTTAACGAAAAAGATACAACGACCTTAATTTTTCAAATACACACGTGCACGCACGCTGGATCCCGTGCGGTGTAGTTATAAATAACAAAGTATCGAGGGCTACGATCTCTACATTTTTTACGTTTTAAATACATAACCAAAATATTACAGATGGAATATTTCTTGAAATTTATATGTAACTACCCTTAAGGATTATTAAAAATATAAGTATCATAAATATCGATTCACAATAAATGAAAATATAACACACAAATAAATATACACCATGTTAAAGCGAAAAAATAAAACCAACAAGCGACTCACACTCGCTTCGCTTCGGGTTTGTCCCTAGTAAAAAGTAGCCTATTTGCCATTCCAGACTATAACCTATTTCTGTGCTAAAATTAATATTTGTTATCGTGAGTACTGGTAGTACCTAAAGTACAGGTTGTTGGTTCCCTGTACATACTTTAAATCCCTATTTCACCCTCTTCAAGTATTATACGACAAAAAGTATTAAAGTAGCTTATATCTTTCTCCAAGATCCCATCTATCTTTATACCAAAATTCATCATAATTGGTTCAATGGTTCAGGCAGGTTAACAGACAGACACACAAACAGACAGAGTTACTTTCGCATTTATAATATTAGTTTGGATATATTCTATATGGATATATTATATATATATATATGTTTGTAGGAGACCTTAAGCATCGCGGTCTGATACAAACTTGGCAGAGACCAATTCAATAAATTTCTTATTTCACCCGTCTTGCCATATTACCATAGGTTTTTCTAACAAATACCTACGAGTATATGGATTTGTAATCTATTCAACTAAATATTTGCAAACGATACTCTGAGTGCTATTGTAGAAATGTAACGTGAAATTGAATTTTCTTTTTTTACTACACCCTCCTTAAATAAATACATTTGCATTTTTTTTCTCTACGGTGTTTGGAATTTTTATAAATCTATCTTTACATATAAATAAATTATAAGCCTATATTTGAGACGCATTCGAATGACATCTAGCCTCTAACATCCATTTTAAAACTATTAATAAAAAATGTTCACCTATTGACCTGTCACGATGACCAATCTCACCGACATATGTAAATGCAAAAGACAAACAATGAAAGATAAGACGCAGGACCGACCTTAGCCCCACGAAGGACTCGAACCCAGGACCTTAGGATTTACTCCTACTCTAGATACTATTGTATGAAAATAGACTAATACTCGGAACTTTAATAAAAATTTCTACAGAATGCAATTTTGATAAAGTGACATCGTTTTATATTCTGATAAAATTTACATCTTACATATTGCTTTAATATAATATATGTATGTCTTGATGACCATATTTACATTTTTGATATTATCTTTTCATTAATTTTAGCACAATTAGTGGTTGTTGATACCACAACCACAGGCAATAACTAGTGATGAAGGTAATAAAGTCAAATCCAAATCAATCTTAATAAACTTACAGCACAGTAATAATTTCGGTAATCATTTTGGTAATTAAGAAGTTTTGGGAACTCGATCATTTCCGTAATACGTAGGTACTTTAGAATTACGCAAAAGGCTGTTTGGTGAAGTTGGATTTCGAGTTCAATTAATCAAAGCGTGTATCATCAATTATATTGCTATTGAGATATTAGCTTCGGCTACTGAAATTAATTTGTTCAAATGTCACTAATGACAAACTTAATTTTAAGATGCTATATGTAAAATACTAGCGACTAACCCTCGCTTCGCCCGGAACTAACTCGGAACTATCCTACGGGAACCGTACATTTTTCCAGGATAAAAAGTAATGTATGTGCTATTCTAGACTATAATCTATCTCTGTGCCAAATTTCATCCAGATCCGTTCTGCCGTTCTGGCGTGAAAGAGTAACAAACATCCCATCCATCCAAACTTTCGCATTTATAATATTTATAACGGGATATTTATATTATATAATACCTTAATATATGGAGATCGAACATGCTTAGGATATCTAAATAGGTTTATTTACTATGGGTCATGTGTCTAAGAGGTACTCTCTACTACAAAAGATATCGTAGGTTTTGCGAATAGAGGTGATAAAAGACAAAGTATATCTAAGCTTTATAGTTTTGGATCTCCGATTATACCCTTTCCCTTGCTATCTCTATCAAGATCAAGTTATACCCTTTGTTTGTCTTAATCAAAGCTTTGATTTTGACAAAAAAATGATACGAAAAAAAATATATATATAAAAATAATTTTAAAAACACGCTTGTGTAATAAAAGTGTTTCATTTAATTTAAAGCTTTTTTTTATTTTTTAGGTATTTATTCAGATTCATCTCAGCAAACCCTTTCATTTGATATCTATATCATGAGGGTGCATAAAAAAAATACAGTCAAATTGAGAACCTCCTCCTTTTTGAAGTCGGTTAAAAAGGTATAAAAAGTAATTTTAAAAACACGCTTGTATAATAAATGAGTTTCATTTAATTTAAATCTTATTTATTTATTTATCGTTGGGAGTCCGCCATGTTGAATGTAAAATTACCTCACTTATCTAACCATGCATTGTCATCCAAACTAAACATGTATGCAAAATTTCAGCTCCATCGGTTAAGGATAACTGCTTTAAAATTCAGTTGCAAGATTTGACACAAACAAACATTCGTACAAGCCTTGCAAGTTAAATAAAAGCTTGTAATAAACGTATTTATAAGTAACGCGGGAGCGAATAGACTGACAGAAAAGCGTAATCAGTTAAGGGTCTCGTCCCGACACCTATGCATACAGTAGTGAAGTAGGGTGAAGTTTCAATACAAGTAAGATATATGTATACTTATAGACTCTTTTTGCTTAAATATTATTTACGTATGAAACTAGGACTACGGGACAAATATATATATTTTTTTTAATTTTTAAGCCATGATCACTGGATTTACAAAAGGTAAGCCGATGAAACTTAATCTATATGGACCCTTTTCCATTATACGAAACCCTAAAAGAACAAAACAACTATTTAAAACTAAAGTATTCACCAAAATCTGTTGAATACATCATACGAGTAATTCATTAGTGCTGGCTAAAACTGATAGCTATATTAATTGGTTCATTTGATCAGGTAATACTTTAATAATTTTAAACGTAATTTTAACCCAGGTTTAATTAAATCGCTGTTATAAAACTATTGTTTCAGTTAGCACGTTTAATACAAATAATATAATATTATGATGATACTAGCGACTCACCCTCGCTTCGCTCGGGTTCGTCCCTAGCTTGATTCCCGATACAAACTTTCATCCCCATTTTCACCCCCTTAAGGGAAGATTTCCGAGATAAAAAGTATCCTATGTCCTTCCCAGGGTCTCAAACTATCTTATTACCAAATTTCACCAAAATCGGTACAGTAGATCCAGAGATTACCCCCTACAACGTCACAAACTCACAAATTTTACCTTTTTATAATATTAGTATACATTGGTAATTTAGTGAAATAATATTTTTATACAAACCAAAACTACTTGACTTATACGTTGCTGGACAGCTGAATACACTACAACACTAGCGTTTTACTGCTTCGGTAACGTTCGTCTCTAGGCACCGAATCTGGTACATAGAAGACTATGTGTTACTTCACAGTCTATCTGTGTACTTAATGTTATCGGACAACCGTTTTAACCGACTTCAAAAAAAAGAAGGTTCTCAATTCGGATGTTCATTTTTTCTTATTCAAGATCGGGCATAATTCTTTTTTTGTTCGAAAGAGATTTATTCCGAAATGGTCGATTTAAATTTGAAAAAGAATCCAGCTCTAATTGTAGAAAATAGAGGTGATTGATTTTCACCTACTGCATTTTTAAAATACTTTCTTCTTATTTTGCTACTACTATGTCTACACTAAAAATGGAAAAATAAAATAAAATCCCGAATTAAAAAAAAAAAAAAACAAAAAAAAGTGATCGGTGGTTTTTATTTACTATAAATACCTAATCAGATATTTTCGCAGTCGGTGCCAGCCGATAAAAATCAAAGCACACCTCATTTTTAATATCCAATCTTATTTTTAAAAGTTTGTATAACGTCAAAAAATAATAAATATATACAACCAAAAAACTTAAATTAGAGTCTTCTCTCTAGACTAGGTATAAGTTAGTTACTGTTAGTAATACAATTTACCAAAAATGAGCGCCGATTGTCAAATGGTAAATAAATGCGTATTATATTACATATACAATATACATATATTTATACTAGCAACTCATTCTATTACAGTAAGATTTATAATTTAATCAAAAAATAAGTATTTAAAGTACAAATTCGGCTTAATTACAATTTTATTATATTTATAGATAAGAAAAGTCGTTTTTTCGTATCAAGTCGCAACAGTCTTGGACTGCACCCGAATGAAGTGAGTGTATGATTCTTTATTTTCGCAGAATGCGACGTTTGCTAAATATTAACGTTAGTATAACATAATAACCACATAAACTTGAAATAATATAATTTAAAACAAAATTACATGATAGTAGGTACCTACTATAGAATAAATTATATAACAAATAATTCGTAATTATCTTTATTGATGGACTTCAATTTGATAATTATTAATGCATTGCTTGTTATTGGCTATTGGTTGATAAAACATTAGATATATTGGGAAAACTAAAAGCTAGCTGTGATACCAGACGAAAGTTCATATGAAAGTTTTCTAAAAATATATTAGATCACTACAAGGATTTCAGTGTTTTTTTATGTAACTTTCACGACACGTTTCAGTTTAGTGACCCTACTTGCTGTGCCAGCGGTCGCGGGTTCGAGTCCCGCTGGTGGCATTCATTTTTGTGATGTGTACGAATGTTTGTACTCCAGTCATGGGTGTTTATTATTATTATAAATATATAATATATATGTATTTAAACTTATACATATGTAGTGTATCAACTATCTGGTATCCATAACACAAGCCTCGTAGCTTACCATGGAACTAGATGGTGC